GCAACCAATGAGGGGTCGACTTCGTCGCCGAGACGATTGTCCGCAGAGCCTTCACCTCGGTCGACGGCGACCGCGTCAAGTAGGGGCGGAGGTCGGTGCAGAGGACTCGTCCAGTGTAGCGTGTTCGACTCAGCACCTCCCTGGTCGAGGCGATGAGCAGCATCTCGTCGTTGTCGCCCTGCAGCTGCACTCCGCTCTCCTTCAGCTGGCCAGCACATAGCAGGTTCACCTATATGACCGGAACGTAGAGCACGTCAGGGATGAGGACCCGCTTCCCGGCCTCCCCTTGCAGAGCGATGGTTCCTCAACCCTCGACATGTTGCAGCGCCCTGTTGAATCCACGCACGTGCTTCACATCGTCGCTCGGTGCCATGTCGACGAAGACCGCCTTCGTTCACATCAGGTGGAGGGAGCACCCGCTGTCAAGCAGCACCACCATCGGGTTGGCCTGCATAGCTGTCGCCACCGCCTGGAAGTCCTCGTCAGCCTCCGGTGCCAGTGAGACTGTCGGCTCCACCACGCCAACCATCGAGCACGACGCCTCCCCGTCGCCTTGGCCCTTGCCGCTGGAGGTGTCGACGTCCTTCGTCGACGACGTCTTCTTCGACGTCTGCTTCTCCTTGCGCGGCTTCTCATCTCGATGGGGGCGAAGGCTGGTCGACTGGCCACGACCTCCCTTGGTGTCGTCCTCGTCCCTGTCGCCGCGGTCAGGGCACTCGTAGGAAAGATGGTCGGGGTCGCCGCAGATCCAGCACTCCTGTTGTCGACCACCACCTCCACGGCCCTTGCCCCGCGCCGACCTCTTCTCGTCGACGTCCTTTGTCGACCACCCACCTCCGCTACCCCCTCCGCCCTGCTTCCCGCGCTACCCTTGCTGCTGCTTCGGCTTCGTCGGTGCAGCGTAATTTGCCTGCGGAAGGAGCTCCGTGGGCTGTTCTGCCTCCTGCATTGCCTCGTCTTGAAGGATGTAGCTGGTGATGGAGTCCTCGTCGAGGGACTCACGCGTGCCGAGCACCATCATCATCCTCTTCATGAGGTTGTAGCCACGCGGTAGGCCCTTGACGATGTGTCTGATGTAGGACGCCGTCGAGCATTCGGCTCCCATCTGCATCTCAGCCAGGATCCGTCGAGCACGGTTGCAGTAGTCCGTCGCCGAATCCTGCTCTCCCATCCGAATGTGTGTCATCTTTTCCTCCAGTTGGCCAGTGTACAGGTCGTCCTTCACCTAGTACGTCGACAGGATGAAGTGCCATGCATGGTGACTAGCATCTAGTGGCTCTCGACAGCTCCTGAGCGCTAGCTGCACCACAGGCGAGCAACACCTTGAGATGGCCATCAAGGTGAGCACGTGAGCAGCACGAAACTCCCTGCACGGCTCGACATCCTCCTTGGGCGGAATGAGTACGGTGCCGTCGACGAAACCCTTCAGCTTGGTGCCCTCCAGCCGAGGTTCTATCGACTCCCTCCAGGTGATGAGGTCCCGTCAACCTTACAGCGGTGCGACGGTGATCCGGCCCGGCGAGAACTTGAGGTAGCCATACGCCGATGCAATCCCGCCCCCCGTCGCATGCGTCGTCGTCGAGATCCCTCCACCGCTTCGTAGAAGAGAGCGACGTCGAACATCGACGTCGACACGTAAGCTGCCTGCAGCCGGCGTCGACGCTGCACTCGGGCCTGAATCCTGTCAACGCCACCGCCGACCTTGATCACCCCTCTCTGCTTCGTGCCTTCGCTACTGCTGACTCGTGCACCACCGTCGACCTCGTCGTCGACGCCACCTTCGTTGCGCACCGGTCGAGGAGATGCAGGACGGGAAGGGTGTTACGTCACCAACTGCGACCGAATGCTCAACTCGATGATCAGTAAGGGGATCGTCCCATACTCGCCATCTACGTAGCATTTCCTCGCATCAGCCAAGCGTGCCTCCAAGGTGTCCGCTACACCCGCATCAGCTACGGGGTCGACGACGGTGAGTATCGCTGCTGTCGGCCTAGGAACGACTTCGTAGGTGCAAAAGTCAGCTCCTAACTGAAGGTAATTTGCGGGGTCGTCTATGCTCACTGCACCATGCGAAGAGTCACCCTACAAAGGTAGTGAGCTAGGCTATGGGGGGGGTAGGCACGAACTACTAAGAGTGATCGTAGCTTTGCTTGCGTTCCTTAGTACTTGTGCATTCACGGGAGAAGTTGGCAAGAGTTTCACTAGCAAAGTTGGAATTGCAGAATGATAGAGTTCACAATGACAAAAATGACTAGATCAGGCACCTAGCAACCCTGCAGCTAGCCTGGTCGACCGCCAGCATTGCACGATCGACCGCACTGCCAGCGTTGCATAGAGGAGCCGCGCCAGCACTGCAGAAGGGCGACTTGCCAACGGAGCAGGTCAACGGCGTACCAACGCTACAGCAAAGTGGCTTTCCAGCATTGCCCCGTAGAAGACAGCAGTGCGCACGCTTGCAGGTGCGCGCAGACGATTGGCCCGATTTGCCCTGTTGGGCATCCATCGGCTGTTGTCTGCGCCTGACGAGCCACATCGACTTCGAGATACCAGCCCAAAGTCGCCTTCGCCATCGTGATTTCGACGATGTTCACGTGCCTCCGCAGAACTCGTCGAGCAGGTTACCCAGTCGGCCTAGTCGACCACCCAATGCTCTGGTCGACCACCAGGAGCCTCCGGTCAACCACCAGGTGCCGCTGGTCGACCACCAGGTGCCTCTGGTCGACCACAGCTCCTGTCGAGCTACCCCGTGGTCGACGAACCCCTTCCGTTGACCAGAACCGTAAGCGGTTGTCGCCAAGCTCCCCTCGTCGACCGCTGCTCCCTTGTCAGCTCGACGGACTGCTCCGTCGACCTCCCGGTCGAACTGTTCCTCCTGGTCGACGGCCCACCCATCGCCCAGCCCAGTCAGCTGCAGCTATCAAGCTCGCTGGTCGACCGCTCCAGCCCCTTGAGAGACCTGTACAGATCGAGAGCCACCTCGTCGACCTGCCCTGCAGAAGAAGGCCGTCGAACACTCTTGGTTGACGGCAACACCACAGCGGTCCCCTGCAGCTCGACGAAGCCCGTCGAGCAGCTCTCCCACTGTGAACGGTCGGCTGCTTCTCCCGTACATCCGACCAAGTCGTCGGCGTTTCCCAAGCGAGGGTGGGGCCAACACTCCACTCCAGTTAACTGCAGCTTCTTCCAATGCTCGTTCGTCCCTACCCCTCCCTGAAACGACTCTGCTATTGCTGCTGCTGCTGTTGGTAGTGCTGGTGCTGGCGGTGGCTCACTTTCTGCTGCAGGTCTCCCTCCCCTTCATCTGCTTCTCCATCGTTGTTAGGAGAAACCTCAGTTGATAGATTAACCTTTCTCATATCACCACTCGCCCCTCCTCTACTTCCAACAACCTTTCCTCTCCTCTTACGAACCGAGCCGCCCCTTCTCTGCTCCCATTCATCCATCAACCCCCTCTCTCTCATCCGCTGTCACCACTTTGTCCACCCCCCCCCAACCCCCCCCCCCCCCCCCCCCCAATCCAATAGCCCCATTTACAGCCTCTCTGCCTGCCTCCCTCCCTGCCACCCTTTTTTTTTTCTCTCCATCAAGGTCCGCTCAGCAACACTCAGCTGCTCAGGGGACGGTTTCGTTGCTCTTGCTGTCCATTGCCTTGCTAAATTGCATCTGCTGCCGGTGCTACAGCTCCTGATGTTGCTGCTGGTGCAGCTGCTTCCACTGTTTATGCTGCTTCTACTGCTCCTACCGTACCACCTATAGTTATGCTACTGGGACGTCTTCTGACAGTGCACAGGAAGTAACGGGCAGAAGGGTAGATTGGAAAAACCCAGAAAAAGGGGCATGGATGACTAGCACAAAAAACCGTAGGATCAGAAACCGACAGATTGGACGGATGAGAAAGGTCAAAAGGATCAGAGGAAGCATGGGGGCCTATGTAAACATATACATCTTTGTAAGGTGTACTGTGCTAGCAGCGTTTTCTTGTAAGGTGTATGACTTGTACACCCTGAACCGTGACGTCAGTAACACATCTGTCGTTTACTCAGGTTCGAAACCTATGGCTCGCGACTCGGGTCCCATCCATCCCTGTCGCATGCGAACAAAGTTTTTGCTCAAGAAGACTACACGCGTACCGTCGTGAACCACACGTTGGCACATTGACGAACCGTGGGGGCGGGCGGACTAAACTGCGGGCAGGCAACTACTATCCCCACCCACCCCAGATGGAAACTGGCGAGTGGTCGAGAGATTGTCACCTGGTACACGCGAGTGCACCGCTCTCGTAAACGTTCGTTCGTACAGTACCACAACTGTGGTGCTCGTTGCTGCTTTTAGTGTAATAACCGAAGCAGTCGCGGGACAGGCTGACTCGGAATATCAAGTGTTAATCCGGGATTCTCTCGGAATTGAACGTCCGACCCCTCCCTCGTTCAGAGTGCCCCTTGCCGCCAAAACAGCGGACTCTGTGGAGGAAATGTTTTTCTATGACAACCTATCGGGAAAAGTAGTATGTTTAGGGAACAATGATATCTCCGAGAAACGTATAAGAGCCGATGAATTCCAGCCGAATCTTGCCGCGAATTGCGGGTTCAACCAGGAGCCATATATCTTCTTCATGTCGCGATTTCCCGACGGGTTACGTTTCTCCTCTATCTCGTAGCCTTCGTTCGTGTCGCTGATGGTCTCGTCGACTGCCGTAACCTAAACAATCCAAGTAAGAGGCTCCGCTTCTCCCGTTCTCAGGTATCACCGCCGTTGACGGTTTCGTCGATATACGAAGCAGTCGAGTCTTAAGCATACTTGCAATGACGGTTCTCCACTAAATTACCCTATATCTCCAACTCACTTCCATAATACACCCTCTTTCTCACTACACTGAACTGTGCTGAACTGATGGAAAACCTAGTTACCTTCGATTTGTCTGATTGAACCATACCTAGACTTAATCTAACCACCGTTAACCGTGCTTTTCCCATCTTGACTTCACTATAACCGAATTCACAATGGCGAGAAAGAGGGTGTACCTTCTTTGGCCGGAACAGGTGAATCGTCAAACTTCCTCTCAAACCCAAGTTTCGATACAAGCTGTCTCGATACAGGATGGCGTCACAAGAAGCTGAACGCGTCGTGCGATCCATGGCCGTACTTATTCCCGTGGCGCGCGTTGGAACCTGGGGAGACACTCTCAACCGACGAGTTCTTAGCCACCGCCGCATTTGGCGGCGCAAACCGCGGAGCATTGCTCACTCCAGCGGGTGCGACACTGGTGGAAGCCGTGGCCGCGACATCAGAAGTAACGGCATCGCCTGCTGACGTGACAAAAGCGGATGGGGTCACGGGAGTCACGGACACTCTTCTGGCAGCTGACGGGTCCCGTTTTCTACAGCTGACTTCCGCTTTTTCCGCGTCGTCTAGTGGCGACGGTGCTTCTGGTAGTAGCAATGATAGTACTAACAATAGCAGTAGCGCGTTTGGCAGCCCAGGCGTGACGCAAGCGCTGTGCAAACTCAAACCCGCCGCATCGTTGACCAGCAACGAGTCACAGCAGGCGCAGCAGCAGCAGCAGCAGTCCCCGCGCCAGCTGTCGCTCTCGTTCTTTGCGCGGGCCAGCCTGTGCGCGGAGGGGGAAGGGGGCGCGGAAGGGGAGGCAGAGCGGCTGTTGAGGGTGCTGCTGCTGGCAGTTCCGCTGAACGCCTCCGCCGCCGCCACAGCAGGGGGAGATGCAGCTGCTGGGGGAGGGGCGGGGGAAGGAGGAGCGGGGGAGCAGGTGTGGGCAGAGTGGCGGGTGGGTGTGCCGTGTGGGGGAAGCAGCGCGAGTTTGTCCGGCGCCTTGCCTTGGTTCCACGTGGGACCCCTCCTCTTCCCCCTCCCTGACCTCCCAGATTCCTCCTCCTCTTCTTCCACCGCCTCCCCTCCTTCCTCGCTGGCAGTGCCCCCAGGGGGAGTGACGCTGCACTTGGTGATTCGAGGTGTGCAAGACAGTAACAGCACGAGCGGCACTGCCACCGTTACCACCACCAGCGGTATTGCCATCGCCAAAAGCAGCATAGCTGCCAGCGGCAGTGAGAGCAGTAGCATCGGCGCCACCAGCGCCACTATTGCTGCGAGTACGGAAGGAGGAGCAGGAGAGGGAGCGGGAGTGAAGGCGGCGGCGGACGTGGGAGGAGGAGCAGGAGCGGGGAGCACGGCTATCGACCTTGCGTCTGTCATGCCTACCCGCAGTGAGTCAGAGAGGCAGAAATGGTTGGCAGGGTCACAGGTGTGTCACAGGTATAGTTGGCTGAAAGCATGCGCTGCACACATGCTCAACTCCCACTCAAGTGCATCATCGATTTCTCATTGCACGTCTACTCACAATCCCACTTCCCGCTCACCTCCTCCCTCCCTTCCGCCCCACTCCCCATCCCTGTCACTGCCCTGCAGCCGACCCCTCCCCTCTCAAGTCCTCCTCCCAATGGCTCTCCAACACCCAAGACTCACTCATTCCCCCTCCCTTCCCCATCCCCTCCTCTCCCCCCTGCCGCCCTTCCCCCCCACTCCCCATCCCTGTCACTGCCCTGCAGCTGACCCCTCCCCACTGAAGTCATTCTCCCACTGGCCGCTCTCCAGCGCGCACCGGCTCATCACAGCCGGCTCAGCTCGCCGCAATTCATCCTCCCTCTCCCTCACCTCACTCTCCGACTTCAATTCTGCCTCCCTCGCGCTGCACCCTGCCCCCTTCGCCCTGCTCGCCCCCGCCACGCCCGCCTCCCCCTGCCGCCCCTTCTCCTTCTCCACCTCCTTCACCTTCCGCATCTCCTCCCCCAATGCCGCCGGGCTGGGCGGCGAGGGCTTGGCGTTTGTGATGCTGCCAACGCCTACGCTTGGCCTGCCGGGGCCCTCCCTGGGCTATGGCCGTGTGCTGCTGCCCCCGGGGAGTACAGCTGGTGCTGATAATTCCAGTTCCAGCAGTGGCGTGTCATCTCAGGCATGTGTTTCCTAAAGAACAGCTCCTTTCTCTCAATTCGGTGGGGATAGGCCGGGAGGGCATAGACTTTGTGATGATACCATTGCCCTCGTTCGGCCTACCACAAGGAGGTATGCTCATCAGTTTCATCTCTTTCTTCTCGCTCCCCTCCCGTGTTTCGTCTTCCTTCTCTTGCCTTTCGTCTTCCTTGTTCATTGTCTGCTGCTCTTCCTCTGCATGTCTTGCTCTCTTTTGCTGCTGCTTTGCGTTTCTGCGGTTCTCTTTATCTTCTGCTCCCCTTTGCTGCTCCCCCTCCCATGCACAGCAGCACAGGAGCCTCGCGGTGGAGTGCGACACATCTAAATCTCTCAAGCACTTCTCCCTCCCCTCCCTCTACCATCCACAGCAGCACAGGAGCCTGGCAGTGGAGTTTGACACATCGGCCTCCCTGGAGTTCTGGGACCGCCCCGACCACCACGTGGGGGTGAACCTGCACGGCAGCATGCTCTCTCTCGCCTCTGCCCCCGTGCACCCCCTCGGCATTCCCGCCCTCAACGCCGGCCAGACCCTCCTCGCCACCATCCACTACAACGCCTCCTCCTCCCACCTCACCGTCTACCTCTCCCCCGCCCCCGCTCCTTCCTCTTCCCCCCCTCCCCCACCCCCGCTCTCCTCTCGCTCCACTTCCTCCTCCGCCTCCTCCCCCTCTTCCCCCTCTCTCCCGCGCTCGGCCGGGCTCACCACATTCCCGAACACCTGCTCTAAACGCTCTCCTCGCTTCCCTCACTTCCCTGGTTTCAATCGCTGCCCTCGCCCCTCCCCCTCCTCCCCGTCCGCCTCCGCCTCCCCCCCTCTCCCACGCTCAGCTGTCCTCTCCATGTTCCTGGACACCTGCGAGTGGCTCGGCGGGAACGATCCGGATGCAGTTTCGCCCCCCCCGCCGCTGTTGGTGGGATTCACAGCGGCCACGGGCAAGGGGACGGAGCAGGCTCAGGCACATTTGGTGCTGGGGTGGGATTTCCAAGTGGGGGAGGGTGAGTGTTTTGTTTGAGAGTGAGCTTAACTTTGGTGTATAGACACATAGTGTGCGAACTCTTGAGTGACCCTAACAAGTTAGAACACAGCGGCCACGGGCAAGGGGGCGGAGCAGGCTCAGGCGCACGAGGTGCGGGGGTGGGATTTTGAAATCGGAGAGGGTGAGTATAGTTCACTTGCCGTGCCCTTGCATTACTTGATCACCTGTGAATAGCTCGACACGTGTGAGGAGCTTGGGAGGATGAGTTGAGTTCAGTTGCCTCCCCACTGCCTGATGTAGGCCTGGTGTAGGCCTGGTGTAGGCCTGGTGTAAGCCTGGTGTAAGCCTGGTGTAGGCCTGGTGTAGGCCTGGTGTAGGCCTGGTGTAAGCCTGGTGTAGGCCTGGTGTAGGCCTGGTGTAGGCCTGGTGTAAGCCTGGTGTAGGCCTGGTGTAGGCCTGGTGTAGGCCTGGTGTAAGCCTGGTGTAGGCCTGGTGTAGGCCTGGTGTAAGCCTGGTGTAGGCCTGGTGTAGGCCTGGTGTAGGCCTGGTGTAGGCCTGGTGTAAGCCTGGTGTAGGCCTGGTGTAAGCCTGGTGTAAGCCTGGTGTAGGCCTGGTGTAGGCCTGGTGTAATTCTGATGAAGGCCTGATGTTGGCCTCGGGTGTGTGGGATTTCTGGCCTGCAGCACTGGTTGGCAGGCAAAGGGAGGGAGGGACCGGGCGCACACGTGAATGGTTTCCTTATTATGCGCTTGTTTACACAGTTACATGGTTACACGGTTACATGAGTACACCCCATGATCCCCATGGTGCGGGCTAAGAGGCACGCACACACCCCACGACTCGTGGTGTGATTGTTGCCCTCACGCACTGCACTCCTTCAGCCGACCCGAACCCTCCCCCCTCCCCACCCCACCCCTGCCCCCCCCTGTCCTCTCCCCTTCCCCCGTCGCACATATCATGCCCTTCCCCCGTCGCACATATCATGCCCTTCCCCCGTCGCACATATCATGCCCTTCCCCCGTCGCACATATCATGCCCTTCCCCCGTCGCACATATCATGCCCTTCCCCCGTCGCACATATCATGCCCTTCCCCCGTCGCACATATCATGCCCTTCCCCCGTCGCACATATCATGCCCTTCCCCCGTCGCACATATCATGCCCTTCCCCCGTCGCACATATCATGCCCTTCCCCCGTCGCACATATCATGCCAACCCCATCATGCCAACCCCATCATGCCAGAATGAATTCGCTGCCATAGTGAGTGAAGCTCCAAGAAACCTACCTCCCATAGTCCCCAGTGTCCCACAGTCCACTCCCTTACCCTTCCCTCCCCCCCCTTGCCCTCGCCCCTCCACCATGCCAGCCCCAGAAGCACAGAATACCTAGAACCTACCTCCCATAGTCCCACTGTCCCACCCACCCACGGTCCACCGTTGAGGCGACTCAAAAGGAACCTACCTTCCTCCCACAGTCCCACGGTCTACACCATAGCCTAAGGTTGAGAGCATTTCTTCATGCCTACCCTAACCCTCTCCCCGCCCTGCCCTGCCCTCACCCACATTCCATGCCAAACCCAGCAGCGGAGGATCCGCTTCCGTTTTGGGCAGCAGACTCGTTCTCCTTCCCCTACATCACGCCAGCCACTCCCCTGCTGACACGTGGCAGCACCAGAAAACGCTTCTTCGCCGCAGATCTCTCTGTCGCTGCTGACGTGGCATCATCCAGTGGCCAATCGGACGATCCCGCCCCCGGAGCCATCTACTTCCCTCGCCGTCTCCCCCTCCTCTACTCTTCCTCCTCCCCTCCCTTCCCACCTCCTCCTCCTCCTCCTCGTCGTCCTCGTAGCTCCCCCCATTCCTCTCCTTCCTCCCCCCCTCCCCAACCCACAGCAACCGAACCCCCAACCTGCATGGCTCGCTCTTTCACCTTCACATACGGCTTTTCCCTAAATGTATCTGCTTCCCATGGGCTCGCGTTCGTTATAAGCACTCATGCGACCCTGGGCCTAGGCGGGCTTTATATGGGGTATGGCCGGGACCCATCCTTGCGACTCTCTAATGGCAGCTGGCCAGACGGCGCGCGGAGTGTAGCTGTGTTTTGGCACCCGGATATGGACGATGTATATACTATACACTTTGGCGTTAACACTGACTTCAACATGACTTCGATTTTTACGGGGAAGTTGTCAACTGTCGTGGAGCCTGAGGAGGTGTTGCAGATGAGGGTTGACTATAACGGGAGGAGCAAGGAGATGCTGATCAGATGGTACCAACCCCCTGTTCTAGTAGGCAGCTTGAACGCCTCTCTTGACCTCTGTGCTGCTCTCACTGGGCCCTCTGCTGCCAGTGGAAGCAGCAGTGGTGGCGGCAGTGGTAGCGGCAGCAGCAGCAGCAGCAGCAGCAGCAGCAGCAGCAGCGGTGACAGCAGTGCAACGGACTTATGGTCGCCATCCTTCGGGCAGCTGTTCGTTGGGTTCACCAGCGCTGCTCTCCCTCCCCCCTCTGGCCGCCTGCCTTCCCCCGTCGCCCTCTCCTCCTGGACCTTCCGATTCACAGGTAGGGGGTGGGGGAATGGGGCGAGATGGGGGGAAGGGAAAGAGGGGAGGGGTAGCAAGCCAGGATTTAGGGTTTCGATTTCAGGGTTTCGGGCTTAGGGGTAGCAAGCCACATGCCCTGCCCCTGTCGCCCTCTCCTCCTGGACCTTCCGATTCACAGGTAGGGGGGAGAGGAAGGGGGCGAGATGGGGGGGAGGGAAGGGGGCGAGACGGAGAGAGTGAAAGAGGGCGAGATAGGGGGAGGGGAAGGGGGCGAGATGGGGGAACGGAAAGAGGGCGAGATGGGGGAAGGGAAAGAGGGCGAGATAGGGAGGGAGAAAGTGAGAAGGGGTAGCAAGCCATGCCATGTGCAAGCTCATACCTCTGCACTCTTCCCGTTCCCATCTCCCCCCAACCACCCCACCCCCAACAGACACCAACCCCTGCAAGGCCTCGCCAGTGCTCCCGTGTGGCATGGGTGCGTGCACCACCAAAGCACATCTCCCATGGGACCTGTCTATTTCTGTGCCCTCCCGCCCTCACTCGCTCTTCTTGCTCTCCATCTGCCTCCTCCTCATCACCTTACCCAACAGCAGGCACCGATCCCTGCGAGGTCCTTCAGTGCTCCCCTGAGGCACGGGCATGTGCACCAAGGCAATTGCCCAGTGGGACCCGTCTCTCCTCCTGCCTCACACCCTTGCTTGCTCTCCTTGCTCTCCTTCCGCCTCCTTCTCATCACCTTACCCAACAGACACCGACCCCTGCAAGGGTTCTCCAGTGCTGCCCTGTGGCATGGGTGCATGCACCAAGGCACGTGCCCCGTGGGACCCGTCTATCCTCGTGCCCTCCTGCAAGTGCCCCTTCAATCTCCCCTCCTTCCAACCCTCCCACCTCTCCGGCCTACCCTCCTGCTTCCCTGGTGAGACGTGGAGTGCGGTGGGCAAGGTGTGCAGTGTGTTTGGTAAGCTGGAGTGCGGTTGGCAAGAGGTGGAATGCCCTCCTGCAAGTGCCCTTTGAAGCTCCCCTCCTTCCAACCCTCCCACCTCGCCGGCCTGCCCTCTTGCTTCCCTGGTGAGCCGTGGACTGAGGTAGGTGAGGGGTGGAGTGCAGTAGGTGAGAGGTGGAGTGCGGTAGGCAAGAGGTGGAGTGTGGTAGGTGAAAGGTGGAGTGCAGTAGGTGAGATGTGGAGCGTGGTAGGTGAGAGGTGGAGTGCGGTGGGTGAGAGGTGGAGTGGAGTGTGGTGGGTGAGAGGTGGAGTGGAGTGTGGTAGGTGCCCTTTTGGTTTGTTTGTAGACGACATAGGTTTGTACGCATGCACTCGTTCTCGATTCACATCGCTCTTGAGAAAATGCAAAAGTTCGTATTTCTTTTAAATCCTTAATCAATTATCAGCCCACTCCCGTCTTTCTTTTCTCCTTTTCGCTTTTTGCACGTGAAATCTCTTGAAGAGTTTGCACTCTAATGCACTATGACCGTTTCTGCAACGCCCTTCTTTCTTGTTTTCCCTCATTTCCCCCCCACCGCCTTTCCCCCTTCCCCTTCTTCTGCTTCCTCCTCTTGCCCCCTTTCTCCTCCTTTCTCGTTCTCCATCCCTGTTTCTCATTGCCCCCTTGTACCCTATCCCCTATCCCCCTGTCCCATTGTCCTGCCGTCCCCTTCTCCCCCCAACCCGTCACCAGATTCCTTCACGTGTCGCCAGTTCCCCCGCAACCCATGTGCCCCGGGGGTGTGCATTGATGACGTAGACGGCACCTACTCCTGCCTCTGCCCCTCGCCCTACTTCCCCTTCTATCTCTACCCCAAAGGCGCTGCCCGCTGTTACCACTGTGCGTACAACATGGCCTTGCTTGCTTGCTCGCTTGCTTGCTTGCTCGTTCCCTTGCTTGCTTGCTCGCTTGCTACCAGCATCTGCCCTTCTGACATGTGCGTGCGCTTGTTCTGTTCATGATCGCCCATTGGATAGAACTTGCTGTCACGGCTCATCATATGGACCTCGTCTGTCCTGCCCGTACATCCCTCACCAGCTGCCTTTTGAATCAACTCAGATGCCACTTCGACAAAAAAAAAACTAAACTCAGCTGCTGCCACGCAACGTCATGCCTCCTAACTGGGGCTCCCTTGGGCTTTCATCCCTCAGCTGCCTTTTGAGTCTACTCAGATGCCACCTCGACCTTGCTGCTTGCAGTGACGTGCATGCCTCGTGCTCACCCCATGCATGCTCACCCCATGCATGCTCACCCCATGCATGCTCACCCCATGCATTCTCACCCCATGCATGCTCACGCCATGCATGCCTACCCCGTGCATGCAGTGCGATTGGCTGAGACTCGAATGCCCACCTTCCTGTCGCCCTACGGCCTCACATGCCCTCTCATCCTCAACACCTACGGGCTCACACAAAAGGACTTCTTCAGCCAAAACAAGGTCTGCCATTGGACTGAAGGAAGGTTTAAGCTGTAGATTGATTGGGGTCAGGACATTCCATGTCACATGCCCGCTCATCCTCAACAATTATGGGCTCACCCAAGCAGACTTCTTCAACCAAAACAATCTCAGGAGGGCTTTGGTGGGCTTTGGTTAAAGGGGCTGTGTTTGGTTCAGCTCAGCACACATCTCACAGCACATTGTGTGGCATCACATCACATCACATGCTCTCTCATCCTCAACTCAACACCTATGGGCTCTTCCAAGCGGAATTCTTGAGCCAAAACAAGGTCTGAAAGCTCAATATTGCCCTTCAGTTTCTCTCACTTCCCCTCTCTGCCCCTCACTTCAACTCAATTTCCCTCGCTTCCACCCACTCCCCCTCACTTTCTCTCACTGCCCCTCACTTTCCGCTCATTCTTCCCACCACCCATTCGGCCTGCCTCGTTAGAATCTCTCCTTGTAACAGCAGAGCGTCCAAACCCATACCCCTCCTTTTGAGACATTTCAAGAGCGTCCAAACCCATACCCCCCTTCCCGTCTTGCCTGTATAGTGCTTCTTTTCTGTCAGATACCCATGTTCCGACCAATCCGCTCCTCTCTCTCTCCTTGTTCTGACTGCAGGGGTTCCAGTGCCGAGCTGACTTCTGAGTCGACTGATTTGTCCTCTCTGTCTCCTTGTTCTACCTACAGGGGTTCCAGTGCCGAGCGCCCATCCCTGTAGGCACTCTTGTTAACGTCACCAGCCGAGCTTTCTCCCAATGCACTGCCATGTACACTGCTAATTATGTAAGCGCCATGGTGTTGAAGTAGTTTCCAGTGCATTATTCCAAGTTCCACTGCGCTTATCCAAGTGAAGGTGCGTTTATCCAACTGCCAGTGCGTTTGTGTAAACTCCAGTGCGCTTATGTAAGCGCCTTTGAGCCTAATCTCAAAACTTAACCCCGCTTCACTGCTCACTCTGAATCGCCACCTGTGTTTGCATTTCCCACTTCCTCCATGTGCCCCTTCCCTCCATGTGCCTTCTCCCTCCATGTGCCTTCTCCCTCCATGTGCCTTCTCCCTTCATCCGCCCACTCCCTTCAAACCCCCTCGCCTCTTTCCCAGACACTCACTCGCCTATTTCCCTGTGTGCCGGCAGGGTGACATGTGTGACTCACGCAACGCCCTCTTCTCCACGCAGATACAGCCATTCAACTCAATCCTTCCAGTAACCACACTTCCTCTTCCACTCCTCCTTTACCTGACATGTGTGTGCAGGGTGACACGTGTGACTCACTCAACGCCCTCTTCTCCACACAGATACTGCCGCTCAACCCTGCCCTCACCTGCTCTGATGGGCCCAGACCCGGCCAGGTGAGCATCGGGGCAGGTGGGTGCAAGTGGGTGCAGGTGAGTTTAGGTGAGGGCACGTGAGTGTGGATGCAGGTGCAGGTGAGTGCTTGTGGTTGCAGGTATGTGTTGGTGGGTCTTGGGGGGAGTAGGTGGATGTTGGTGAGCGGAGGTGGGTCGAGTTGGGTGTATGTGGGTGTAGATGGCTGACAAGAATGCAGGTGCGCTGTCAACAGAAGCTGCTGCAATGACAGGTCGTCAGGGTAGTTTGTTCTCCAAAGTCTCAGAACCCGATCTCACATCATTTCACACATTCCTCTCCCCACTCCCCCTCTTCTCCCCCTTCTCCCTCCTCTCCCCCATTCTCCTCCCTCCCTCCTTCCCAGCTCCTCTGTGTATCCCTCAACCAGACGTGGCTAGAAGAGGGAATGACCCGCATATCATGCAAGCTCCAGGCCCAAATCACCCCAGCCATGACACCAACCCCGCCCTCAACCTCACCCAGCCCTCAACCACCCCCTCCTCCTCCGCCTGTAGCCAACTACACGAGCCTAGGTGTGCCCGTGACTGTGCTGCAGGGCCCGCAGACCTGCCAGCAGCTGTGGCGGGCGTTTGCCATCGCCTCCCCCACGCGCTTCTTCCAGATGAATCCCGGCCTCTCGTGCGACTCGCTGCTGCCACACAGCCCCCTGCAGGGCAACATGATGAGAAGGGTGAGTTGGGCTGGGAGGGTGAGAGTCGAGGGGTTGTGCGTGTGAGTTGTGAGATGAGGGAGGAGCAAGAAGTCTGATGTGCTTCTTTCAGTTGAATCTTGGCCTCTCGTGCGACTCGCTGCTGCCGCACAGCCCCCTGCAGGGCAATATGATGAGTCGGGTGAGTCGGGAAGGTCTGTTTGTGGGGTAGAGGGGAAGGAGGTTATACGCTGCAAGTAGTACATGTGCTTGTGCCTGTGTCTGGTGCCGCTGTCGATGTCTTTGCCTCCGTCTCTGTCTCTGCCTCTGTGTGTGAAGGTTATTCAATGCAGTTTCTTTTTCTTCCCCTTCCATCCTGTTCCTCGCTGATGGTTGACTCACAGATTTGTGTGGCCAGTGTTGACGGCCGGCCGTTATCTGGCAATACATGTTCAACCAAGCGATTGTACAGTGTTAGGCGCGGAGATACATGCGGCATGTTGATCGCTAGGAGATACCATCGCAATATTGACTTGTTTAGGAGTCTTAACAATGGGTATGATTGTACTGTAAATAGGTTGTGGAGTGGCTTGTTGCTCTGTTTACCGTGAATGAAAAAATTCTAACATGTGCAGAAGCACTAAAACAAGATCTTGCACACCATGATTATCAGCAGAACCAGTATTGAGGGATATGAAACACTTGCTCCAGCCCAGTGGAACGAGCTTGGGTGGTATGAGGGGTCCTGCTTTCTGTTTTCCTGGTTCTTTGTCTTGTGTTTATTTCATTTCTGTTTAGTATAAATAGTAAATCTTTTAAATAGTAGATGTTTTTTTCACCCCTTCGTTTGCTAGCAGAAGCAGCTCCAGTCTCCTAGCCAACTCCTTCCGTACTGGTAGGGGGCACGATCAGAGGCAGAACAGCAAGTGATAGCTGTTGTCCTTCGAATTAGGTTACCTTGTACTACGCTTTGACTTCGTCTAGTTGGTATGTGAGCCGTCGTCGGCTTCCTTCTCCCACATACCTCAACAGCCAGATACCGATATCTCTCCATTTCATAAAGCGCAAGCGTTTTGCTAATATTTTTTCAGGACATATCGCTTGCGATTTTCTTTCACTTTTAGCTGACAGATCTGACCAATGGCGAAGCGAGGATTTGACAGAATATTCGGTTCTAGACGACGCGAGGGGCGATTCGGAGGAGTGCAAACGATACAAAATCGAAACGGACGACGCCGTTGTCAGGCTCCAGGACTTAGTGACCGTCCTTAGTAAAAAGGTGGAAACTATTGAACAGACCCTGGTTGAAGACAGAGAGGCGAGCAAGGCAAGCGTTCGACAGCTAGAGGATGACCTAGCGCGAGAGAGGGTTGCAAGGGAGGATAAGGAGATGGAGGTGCATGCGTTGTCAGCGCGCCTGGCGCTTGCAGAGGAAGCGCTGGCTCAGCGGAAGGAGGAGATGCGGAAGGTCTGGGAGGTGAGACGTCGCGAAAGTCGCCACCTCTGATTGCGTGTCATGGAATTCGGAAGGGGTTCCCGTCGTTTTGTGGTTGCTGATCATTTTGCACCATTATTGCTGATTTTTCCGCACCATAGTTGATGGTAAGCCGCACCATGGTGTCTTATTATTCCGCACACTCATTCCTGCCACACTTTCAGGCAATTCCGGAAGCCGTTCGTCATCTTCCCTCAGAGGAGGACATGCAGATCATCAGTCTCCACCCTGAAACCACCGAAATCACGCTCAATGACCCTTCTCACGTGACACTCTTCGGTTTCCTGCGTCTCTCCTGCATGCGATCCCTCAAGAGCATCTCCGTTTTTGGAAATCTCGAAAAGCCTGCTCTGCTGCACCTCTACTCCATGACATGGCTGGAAGAGCTGAGACTGGAATCGGTTTCCGAGCCCTTGTTGCCTGAAATCGCGAATCTTAAAGCCCTTTGCCATCTGGAGTTGCGTGATACTCCAATGTCATGTAATGGGCTTGCTAACCTCACAACCCTGTCCTCGTTACAGAGTCTTGTTCTGTCTCAGCAGTTGTTGGGAGGGAGCTTCACGTCTGATAGCATGGTATATGTGGGAAAGCTCGGAAATCTGGAGCATCTGGATATTGCTAACACCCAGGTGTGTGATTACGGGTTATGGTGCCTTACCCCTCTGGTCAAGTTAAGATGGCTTAGCCTCCCCCCAAATATCACGTATAGGGTATGGAGTACCTGAAGTGTTTTAGGTCATCACAAAAATGTGTGTTTGAAAATCATCTGACGTTCCCGCAGGTCGATCGTATGTTTGACAATCGTTTGAAAAACGTACAGAAAACCTACAAAAATCGTTTGTCCCTCTTGAGACGTTTTGGAGACACTATTCGTATGTTTCCACTCAATGTTTCTTGCCTGTTGCTGCAGCATTAGGGTTTCGCGACTAAGAGGGGTTGGAGCTGGTCTCCTCGCTTGGAAGATTTGTGGTGTAAACCTGTTCTCGATATAAATGTCTCCTTTTTACTTCTGTGCATTGTTTGTTACAGCAAAACCTTTGAAGATTATTTCTTGAATTTGTAAATCCCATTAAGAACATGGGTTTCCAAGTCTCATATTTAACCAATGGTTATTGATTTTGCACCTATTAGATTAAAGAAATGCCTACAAATATCAATATTCTAGGTTCAAAATCAACGTTTACCACAGTCACATTGGGTCAAAGGCCTCACCAAACAAATCTGTTGAGGAGGCTCACTTCATCGTCCTCGCACGAGGGTACAATGTGCACGAGACTAAGAATGCAGTCTACAGCGATCACCGCATAATTATCAACGCCCTCTGTGGGTAAAAGACGCTTGCATCCCATCGACGGGCATTGTCGCTTGTCTTCGGTGTAGTACTCCACATATGCTCCTCGCCTCAGCTCACCACCCTTGTAATGAAACAGCACAAGGCAACGGCCATACCACGGGGATCCCTTCCCTGCAGGGTTGATCGCAATCGACGAGAAGTTTTGCTGGGCTGGGCTAGCCTTGACGAACTGCCCCCTTGACGTCCATTCCATCTTATCGTGTGGCGGGATCGCAAGTGCCGTGTACACCTGACACCACGAGCATTCAACAAAGAAAAAGGGAAAGCAGCGAAAGAGGGGGTGGAGAGCATAAGGGAAATGGGGTATTGGCCAGGGTTTGCATGGACAGCAGTCTGGAGAGGGGGAACCAGGGGCGGATGGGGTGGAAAGCAAGCAGGAGAGGGGGAACCAGGGGTGGATGGGGTGGAAAGCAAGCAGGAGAGGGGAATGCACCTGCAAGACTTGCGTGTTGATGCCCGCCTGTTTGAGGCGCAGAACCATCGCACTCATGGCGGGTTCACCCAGCGTCAAGACGTAGCTCCGGAACACCGAGTCGGTGATGTCTCCAATGACCATCTTCTTGTGGGTCTTAGTAAGCACCCTCCGGCCAGCCAGGCATGCCTGTCACCGTGAAGATGAGAGGGTTGGTATAGGGAGGGGGTGGGGTGAATGGTGTGGGCATTTGGAGGGTGGAAGAGAGGGTGGGGGAGGGGATTGATGCGGGGGAGGCGAAGGAGAGGGCTAGGGACCAGGGGGAAACGAGGGTGGGGGAACGGGGGCGAGTTTGTGGGGACGAAGACGGGGATGGAGGGTAGGAGTCGGTTACTTTGGTTAGGTTGGTCCAGCATCTGATTGCCAACTCATGCAGACACATCAGTGAACATAGCATGGAAACAGTGCTGAGAACAGAGCAGGGAAACAGAACAGGGTACAGAGAAGGGGAACGGACTAGGGGAACAGAGCAGGAGAAGAGAGCAAGAGAACTGAGAAGGGAAACAGAGCAGGGAAACAGAGCAGGGGAACAGAAAAGTGGAACAGAGCAAGAGAACAGAGCAGGGCAGCCATGCAGTGTGTTAGAGCAGGAGAGCAGAGCATGGGAATAAAACAGGGAAACAAAGCAGATGAGAGTTTGCAGGGGTACAGAGCAGGGGGGACATTGCAGGTTTAAAAGAATCACCTCTTTCATCGAAGTCTCATACGTGCTGTCCCTGCCGGCCTCCTGCGCTAGTTGTCTAACTACCGCGTGCTCCAGGTGTTTCCGAACGATGCGATCTTCAACATTCTTCCAATTCGTGCCACGTGAAGGACGCTTCACAGTGGTCTTGTGGGAGTGCTTGTAACAGTTCGACGAGTACTCCGCGGGGATTCCCCGAAGACGGATGGTTGACGGGAGGTGGACGAGGAGATGAATTTTCACTATTTTCCACTTTGACTTCTGCTTAGGAAATGCAACACGCAGAGCCTTCACCATGCTGGGGAGAGACAGTCGAGAGCATGCATGCAGTTAAGGGGTGGAATGCAGGCCAGGAAGGGAGAAACGACACGAGGGAGGGGGGGTGAGGAATCATGCAGTCAAGGGAAAAAAAAGGGTTTAGGGTAGGTAAGCAGGTGGGGTATGGAAGAACAGGGATGCAAAGGGTCAAAACAAGATGAAAGGGAAGGGGGGGGGGGGGGAGAGCATGTAGGTACGGTTGATGCGAGGAAAATGGGTGTATGTGGCAATGAACGGCTTGGGAGCCCACACAACAACAAGAGTAGCTACCTGATGGTGGCATTTTTCATCCATTTCAGGGAATCGTTGGTGTGGTAATCAGCGCGAATAAACTCCTTGTACCACTCGACCATGAGCACGATTGCCGTCCGGACATCTTTCCGTCCTGGGAGATCGATGATGAGAGGCAAGACCTGCATCATCGCACGATGCTCTGAAGCTGAAAAACAGGCAGCAGATGTAAAGTAGGCCCACGCCGAAGGCAAACGGAGCACGGAAGGTGGTGTGACCTCCTCCAAAATCTTGTATCGCCTAGAGAGAAGGAACGATTCAGCATGGTGGAAAATGCAAGCAAGGAGGGGAGAAACGGTTCAGCATGGTGGAAAATGCAAGCAAGAAGGGGAGGAACGGTTCAGCATGGTGCGGAAAGCAAGCAAGGAGGGGAGGAACGGTTCAGCATGGCGCGGAACAACTCACTCCAGAAGAATCTTCCGTTCTTTTGGGGTCAGCTTTGATAAAAGTTAGAAGAAAAGAAGAGGGTTGAACGAGCAAGAATGAGGATACAAATAGCAAACCCTA